GACCAAGTTACCCAAGGACAGGCACTCCAGGCCGCATCCTGCACCTGCTGCAAGCAGATCACACGCTTCTAGAGCGTGCAGCCAGGTGGAGATGTAAAGCACCATCTCCACAGAGCCTGCCCCGCACCAAACACGGGCCGTGGCATGAGTCAAAATGAGGGACACCAGCAAATAATAGACTTCACCTGCAGAAGAGCACTAATTTGCAGCTGTAAATCACCTTTCATCTGCAGATCACAGAGGCGTCTCCAGCAGTGATTAACGCTGCCCTGCAGCATCCCTGCCCCATCACCAGCGCAGGGCCATGGTTATTGCACCCGCTGGCACGCGGCCACGTGTCCTCGCAGGCACCTGCAGGAGGGACCTGGCTCACAGGGCTGGTCCTGCTCCACTTCCCGTGGCCACGGGCACCAAGGTGTCCCCAGCGTGAGCAGTTTGGGGTCTGCTCCCACAGCAGGGAAGGATGGGCCGTGAAGGGGTGCAGGAGCAGAGCCCTCTCTGAATCCAGTGCACTGGTGCCTTGGGGTTTATTTGGTGTTTTCCATGTGGACATCACTATTTTGCTCCAAGCAAGCTGGAGTGAGGAAGGTTAAGCCCATCCAGCAGCAAATCGCCCTGGCAGGGTTGTCAATAAAGAACGGCAGGAAAGTGTCTAATTCCTAAAGCTTTCCTATATGTAAGTGTGTACATGTGTATTTAAATATATATATATATATATATATATATATATACAGAATATTTTCAAAGAAGCCAGGGGTCTTTAACCTCAGAAGTTACCTAAAGGAAGAGACAGGCACCAAGCACTTGTTACCTCAGGCATGGAGCGCAGAAGACAGGTTTGCAAGGATCCATGTGTGGGGCTGTTCCTATCCCAGCCTCAGTCCCCTCCTTCCCTGAGGTGAGGCATCTTTCCTATGTACAATGAAATAAGCTTTTCTGGGAAGAACTTCAGTGTGAAAGGGAAAGATGAGGAGTGGCACGATCAGAATTCCCTGCCAGCTGTAGGTGTACCACACTCGCCTTCCCTCCCCCTGGACCGGGGATGTACAGCACACACCCTGCAGCACACCAGCGCCGGAAGGACACAACGTGAGACTCTGGGCTACAAAACCTGTCTGTTTTCAGTTTTCAGTGAGCAAAATCAAGCAGAAGTTACTGGGCTGTGTGTGGGAGTTGAGATGTAAGGCTGTGACATAGAGGAGAGGGGAAGCAGGCTGCAGAACGTCCATCACCAGTGCTGAAATCCTGCGTGCGATCACTTTGCATGGCTGAAAACAGCTCTGCAAGGTGCCAGGGGCCAGTGCAAGCCGGCCCCTGGCACCGCGCAGCTCCCAGCACTGCTTTACTGTCACACCAGGAGTGTTGCTGCACCAAGAAATTACAACTGGACTCTGCTGCTTTGTCCGTGCTACAAGCAGGTAAATTAAAGGTTAGGGAGATTGTAATTCGATTCAGGACATAGCGAATGCTGGCGCAGGAGTGAGCTCTGCAAGCCCCAGCTGCCAGTGCCTTGCTCCGACTGCTGCACGGAGTGGGATTTGTTTCCCTCGTTAAAAATAACCTTGTTTATAACCTCTGCTTCATGATTCAGCTCTGCTGCAGTCAACAACTGATCACCATCAGAGCAGGGAGCATCACGTTTCAGGAGGAAGGTGCAATGGGCCGTGGCAGCTCAGGGATGCTCCCTGCAAAGGGCAGTTTGGCTGAGGAAATGAGGGTGCATTGACAAAGGGCTGCTCTTTTTGAAGAGCAGCTCTCCTGTCTGAGGTCGCTGTGCCAGATCCTGACCTGCCTGGAGCTCCTGCTGTGCAAATCCCCACTCATGGCTTCTGTCCCACCTCATCACCATGAACGTGGCCCTGTGCAGGCCCAAAGGTACAGACAGACGTGGTTTTCCTGGTTCCTCTCCTCCTTCTTGCCTGTAGGTCAGAGCATCAGACATGCATTGCTCCTGATGGGGCAACCCGGAGCCCTACCAGTGGCACAGCTACCGGTTTTACGTCTAAAGCAAGGCTCATTGCCAAGAGAAATCTCCTACAGAGCCCCCCAAGCTTTGATTCCTGGCATTGTGGTGTGATGTGTCTCATGAGCAGCACGGCTCTCCTGCCTTTTAAGGGCCATGTTGTCAGGGTTTGCTCGTTGCTGCAGTGTCTTCCCTGCAAAAATCAGGATTGCAGCTGCAATCCTCATCCCATTTAGTGACTGGAAACAGAGGTGCAAAATAAGCATAACCAAGCTTTTCCGAAAGCATCTGCTGAGAGCTTTAAACTGTCAGAGGGGGAGTTGAGATATAAAGATGGAACTCGATGAGCTTTAAGGTCCTTTCAACTCAAACCAGTCTGGGATTATGATTTTTGGCTAACACTGGAGTAAGGTTTTGCTTTCAGGTGCATCAGCAAGTGATGCGCCCATGGCCACACAGATCATCAGTAGCAGAAATCGTAACAGAAGCGAAAGCAAAACCCCTGAGACACAATCTGGTGATGCAAATTTGAGCTCACCCTTTCCTGTTTTAGGAGCTAATCCTTTGTCCTTGCAGCTAAGAGGAATTTTCCATAAAAGGGATATTCTTTCAAACACATCATTGTGTTTAATGTTTAACAGGGGGATCATTACGGTTTTATTAGCAGTACGCAATGCTTTTTGGTGTTCAGCTGACTTTGCAAACATGAACGGATTGATCTCAGCCACGGTGGTAACTAGGCAGAGAGGTGATGTGCTCCTGCGGCTGTCAGCACAGGGTGCAGACATGAGGCCCCTGCTTTGCTGCTCTGACCACCGACACCGGCGTTTCCATTAGCGCTGCTGTCGGGGAGGAACACTGCGCGCAGCGAGCGTCCTGCTTCTGGCTGAGCTCACAACGTAGCAAATGTCACCGAACCCCATGAAGCGCTGATTTACAAATATTAAATGCACGATTGGCTGTGTTTTTCTCAGTCATCCGGTAGTTGCTGGTTGTTTTCAGCTCACCCCAACCAAACCGTGGTTAAATGGTGTGTATTTGTGGGAACTGGGTGCTAAAGTCAGCAACAAGCAGCCAAAGGCCGTGAAGGGTTTAAAGGCCACGTTGGCAAAGAGTGACTCCCGGAGAGGCCCGCCAGGAAATGAGCTCCTCGTTTGCAGTATGCAGAACATGTACGCGCTCCATGATTTACTCGCTCATCTGCTCCACATTGCGCCTGTTCTCCCTCGCCACTGTCCTGGCGGATGCGATTGTCTCCTGCAAAACAGGAGTGAAAATGAGCGCTGCAGCGTGGCAGGGCTGGGTCAGTACCCAGGTAAGGGCGGCCGAGCCCGGCAGGACATGGCCCCTCCGCAGGCAGCGCTGACAGGAGCGCTGGGGACGGAGGGGATCCATGGGGTGGGTGCGATGGTGGCTTTAAGGACACTGGATGCGGCTCGGGGGATGCAATGGGCGCTTGTGGCAGGGAGGAGACACAGCCCCTTGGTGAGGGGTTGCGGTGATGGCTTTGGGGGTGAGGTAGGTGCGGTGAGGGGATGTGGTGGTGGCTTTGGAGACCGGGGAGAGGCGTGATGGCAGCTTTAGGGGCAGCGGGGACGCAGCGTTTGGATGCGATGGTGGCTTTGGGGACAGCGGGGACACACCGGGGGCATGTGATGGTGGTTTTGCGGACACAGTGCTTGCTGTGGTGGTGACTTTGGGGACAGGGAGGCATCGGGGGCCAGGCTGTGCGACGCTGTCCTTGGGTCCCTCGGCCGGCGCCCAGCTGCGGGCCCACACGGCCCAGCAGACCCTCCGGCGGGGCCCGTGCGCGGCGCTGCACCGGCGGCGGGTGCGCGGGGCCCGGCGGGTCGGGTCGGGCCCGGCCCGTTGCCATGGCAGCAGCCAGGCGGCGCGGCGGCGCGCGCGGCCGGCGGGGCGCGGCGCGGGCCCGGAGCGTACCATGTGCGCCCGGCGGCGGGAGGCGGCGGAGGGGCCACGACGGCGGCGGCTGGTGCCCTGCTAGCTCCGCCACGGCGGGACCGGCGACCGGGAGCCGCGGCGTCAATGTAAGGGCAGCGGCGGGAAGGGGAAACGGGAGGGGGGAACCGTCGCTGAGTGGCATTTCCACGCCGCGCGTGGCCGCGGGGAAGGGGGGGGGAGAGGGCGGAGGGCGGGCGGGAGGCGTTAAAATGGCGGCGCGCAGCCGGCCCCCGCGCTAAACCGGCCCCCGTGGTTCGCCCCGTGCCGCCGCGCGTGGCACGGTGCGGCCGCCCGCTGCCTGCTGCTGCTGCTGCCGCCGCCGCCGCCGCCGCCGCTGCTGAGGTAAGGCCGGGCCCGGCCGCGGGGCGCCGGGGCCGGTTGTGGGGCGGGCAGGGGCAGGAATGTCCGTGCTGGTGGCGGCGGCGGCGGGGGCTCGGCGGCCGCTGGCGGTTGTCCCGGGGCTGCCGGCGCGGCTCCTTGGCGGCTCTTCGCTCCTTTGTCTGGCGGTGGCGGCCCGGCTCCGCCGGCGGCGGGAGGGGCGGCCGGAGCGGCGCGGTGCGAGGGTGTCGCTTCGGTCTTACCCCCCCCGAAAAAAAAACTGAGAGGGAAAACCCGCTCCCAAAGTAATCCCGGCCGCCGAGCGCGCCCCGGGCGCTGCCTGCGCCTCGCAGCGCAGGGGACCGCGGGCTCGGAGCAGCGTGGAAGCGGAGTTGTGCCGCTGGAAGGGGTGCGCGGGGGGGTCCTTCCTTATTTATTTTTTATTTCTTGCTTTTTTTTTTTTTGCCTCTTATGAAGACATGCGCATTTGTTCAGTCTTGCCACCGCACTGGAGTCTGCCTAGAAACAAAGAACACAGCCTGGCGAAGTTGATGCTGGCTCCCAAAGTGTCTGGCTTCCCCCCCACCCCATCCGCCTTTTCATTGACTTATGCCATAGTTAAAACGCGGAGATAATTCCTTGCGTTATTCCCCAATGGCTGCGGATGGAAACCCCCCATACACAGTATCCATCCCCCCCCTCGCCCCTGCCAGCCCGGGTTACGCGTTTGGGAAGGTGCAGCCATGCTCGCTAGGCCCCCAGCGCCGTGGGGTGACAGCTCGCAGGAGGTGTTGCTTTCCGACGGGGAGCCACCCCCTTGCTGAATCATCCCGGAGCCATGGCCGGACGGCTCGGCCGCCGCTCGGGGAACGCGATGTTCCCCTCTCGAGCATGAGGTGGTGGCGAGGCGAGGCGCAAAGGAGAGACCTGTTTGCATTCGGCTCAGGCGCGGCGCACGCTTGCAGGGAGAAACCTTTCCCTTTCATGGCAGCCGGAGCTGCGGGTGCAGTTGGGAGCTCACGGACGAGACGTGCGCTGCTGTAAGGAACATCCCCTGCCTTTGAGGTAGTGAAACTCCAGTCCGACTGCCAGAGCCGGCAGCTTTGGCTCCTCTGAGGACTCCTCTCTTGCACGGATGGGCTTCGTGCGAGATCACCCGGCTTGGGAATTCATCTTGCTCTTAGCAGTAATCCTGGGATACGTGTCTGTGTCCATGCTGTTTGCCTAAAACTAATTTGTGCTGTCCTGGTGAAAGTCATTGCCTTTGTTACTGCAAGGAAATAATGACTTTACCTTTTCGGGTCGGATGCTGAAGTGCTGCCAGGTATCCTGCCTTTATTGAAAACGTATGGGAAAGGAGGGAGAGGTGGGATGAGCATTTTTGAGCTGGGGTGTATCAGGTAAGACTAAATTGCAGCAGTTGTTGGACACATAACGAGATCCTGTAATTAGCCGTAGTCTATACGGTGCTGAAACTATCGAGTGTCTGAGCTGGAGCAGGCTGAATTAAGCTGGCACTTCTGGGATTATGCAGAGGCAGAAGTAATGCAGTTAAAGTTTCCATACAGCAGCTTCCATGGGGTTGCAGAGATGTTTTCCCCCTCGGGGTCCTCCTTGTGGGTATTTTGCTTTTAAGGTAGTACGTGGAAGCTGCAGTGGTGCTGCTGTCCACGTTGGAGAAATGCCTTACATGGCACAGTCCTTGGAGCTGTATTTACTCAGGAAGGTCCAAATCGTGCACCTCAGCTCCTAAAGGAAGGACTTGGGGGTTCAGGTTTGTGCAGATCTGATGGATTTAAAACTTCCCTGCCGCCTCGCTCTCTGTACCCCAAAAATGATGTGTGGTGGTGGTCCTGTGCCCCACTCCTGCAGTGGGGCAGGGTCCCCGCGGGGCTCTGGTTTGCTGTGGGGCTGTACTCATGCATGGCAGTCACACACAGGCAGACCCAGGAGGCTGTGCAGTTACGGCGTGTGGGCACCAGCCCTTCATCGGGTGCTAATTTCCCTTGGTGTGTGCGTGTGTGTGTATATATATAGACATGGTACATATTTAAATGATGTGATTTTAAAGTAGTGATGGCCCAGAAAAGTTTGAGAGCTATTTCAGAGTGTTTCTCTCTGAAAGACAATGGACTGTGCAGAAGCTTCTAGGTATTATGGGCTGTGCTTACGACAGGAGAGAATAGAGTCAGCCCTCTCAAAAGGTAGCTGAGTTTTCCTGGTTCAGGCTGCATGCAGCTCTGTGCCTGTGGCAGGCCTGGTTCTATCTTCCAGGTGGCTTGTGATACGCTGGCAGGGGCCCAAAGAAGCCGTGGTGGTCTGTAAGGAAATGAGCCCCTCATTGCTGTAACCTTGGGGCTGCTCAGCCTCCTGCAGCGTCTGCCCCGGTCAGAAGTAAGGGTGCTACATTCTGCCCACCCCTGATGGGAGTGAGGGGTCCCCATGGGGAAGGAGGGAGTGGATCTGGGGCTGCCCTCCCAAGGAACGCGACTGAGCAGTGGGGGTGCTGGGCAGCTGTCCATGTGAGGTGTTGGGGTGTCACATCCACATAGAGGATTTTGTAGTGGGTTTTGTGCCCGGTTCCACTTTACCAGCAGTGGTGACCTTCTCTGCTGCCTCCTTCCCTGCTGGGGAATGGCTGGCAGGAGGCTGAAATGATATTCTTAGATTTTTACTGACCTAGAAGTTTTCCCTTGGGCTTGCCCCAAGATGAGTACTTGTGCTGCCACCAGAGAGGAGAGTTTGAGAGGCTGTTCTGTGCCTTTAAGGGAATCTCAAAGTGGGGGTTAAAAACTTGTGGCTCGAAGCGGGGGAGGTTGGATTTCATTTGCAGCACAGCTCACAAATCGGCTCTGAAGCTGGTGCTGTGGTGGAAAATGTGGTCCTGCTTCTAGCCCTTCCCTTCAGTCTCTTCCTCATCCTTGTGGAGCAAGAACAGTCTTGCAGAAAACAAACCAGCACTACTCATTTTAGCCATCACTGCTTTCTCGGTTCACCTCTCCATATGGCCATAGGAGCACTTGTGTTGGCACAAGGACCTGGCATGCAGGGGCAGGACAGGATGAGGCTGGACTGCTGCTTGTATTAGCAGCCCTGGCTTATGCTGAATTAAACGGGTGGCGAAACCGCACTGCTTGTGTCTTGCAAATGGCTCTTTCTTCATGCACGAGTCAAACCAGGGCTTTCCTAGTCCCCAGTACCCGCAGCTTAGTCAGGAGCCTGGGAGCAGAGGGAGATGTTCTTTGTGGCCAGTGCAGGTGATGATCATGAAGCCGCAGTCATGCCTGATGCCTCAGCAGGACACCCCTCCTGCCGTGCTGGCGCTGAGAGCTTGGCTTTGGCAACTCACTGTGTGACTCGGGCGTGTTGGGAAAGTGTGCAGCCTCCAGAGGAGGAGGCGATCCTGACCATGAGCATACTAGAAGTCACGTGTGGGAACTAAGCTGAGTACTAGAAACACGAGGCTGCTTGTTTGGAGGGAGGCTGTGCACTGAAAGCGGAGTTTGCCTAGATCTGTTTCCACAGGTAGTCACAGGAGCTGTGGCCCTCTGCTGTGCTCTGAAAGCAGAGGCTGGATGTCCAACTGTCACTGCAGACGTGGTGGCACCCTGCATTTGGGTTACCCACATCCAGCTTCGCAGCACCTAGCAGGCAAACCATGAGGAAAGTCTTGAGCAGGAGAGAAATGCTCAGCTGGGGAATGGAGGCAGTGGTGGGGAAAGGATGTCTTCACTGAACAGTGTGTGTTTGCTCTGAAAATCCCTTCAAAGCTCTGAAGCTCAGGCTTGCTTGATCTGCTCTTTGCCAGACGCAATGCTTCGGGTAGGAGCGTCAATTCAGTGTGGACAAGTCGATGCAGGAGTTGTTCCTTCTTAGGTGATAGGGAACCAGTTGCCCATGTGTAATGCACTGGATTGCTTGTTTGACTGGTTGGGTTTTTTTGGGGTGAGTTTCTTTTTAATCAGTGTAGTGCAGAGCTGTGGGCAGTACACATACATCCTTCTCGAGGGCAGTGCCTGATCTGTCACACGGTTTAAGCACGGACTTGTCTCTCTTGCTGAAGCGCAGCCTTTAAGCCGGAGCATTTATTAGAACAAAAGACTTTGTAATTCTGTTCACCTTTAATGCAGCATCACAGGTACTTTGTGCGTGTGTCTGCTCCTGGAACAGTTCCTCCTGGTGCCCCCTAAGCATCGAAACTCTGTAAATACATCCTTTAGGTTTGTTTTCTCTAGGTTCCTCTGTGGGTGCAGATTGCTGCTCCGTGACAGATGATCTACCTGAGCTTGTGCTTGTGATGCTCTTGCAGTCAGGCATCTCTTGCTTGCTAAGCTGTTGCGTGTTGTTTAAAAAGGAGTGTATCCTCCCCTTTTTCCATGCCATCTTCCAGGAAGGATTGTCTACCCAGAGTGATGTTATCTTCCCCCATTTTAAATGGTATCAGCAGATACTTTCTTTTTCCCTTCTCCCATCCTAGTGGTAAGTACCGAGCTGTCTTGGATTACTCACACGGAGCAAATCTGTGGCTTGGCCTCCAAATTACATGGCTCTACTCAGCAAGGGTGAGGTCCCCTCCCTGGAGCCCAAGTAAAGGTGCCAGGACCTTACTTTGTGTGAAAGCACATTGACTGATACGAAGCTGCAGACCTGGTGGCCTCCTGAGCTGGGCGGTTTATGTCTGAGGGCTTCTGAATGCATAAAATCAGAGCGACTGCGTCTGTGTAATCCAATCTGCTCGTGAAAGCCTCGCAGAGGGCTGCGTGCTGCAGACATAAGCTGTGTCAATAAGAACTCTATTCACCCTGGAAAACAGCCTCGTGATCGGCTTTGACTGGCAGCTTCCTAAGGGAGGGCCTTTCCTGAGAGAGCTCCACTTTTTGGCGGCACTTCTGACTGCCTTTTGGACTCCCACTTGGTGTTCTTTCCTTGCCTTGTGTGCCGGGAGGGTGCTGGGGCAGAGGGTGGATTTCACACAACGCTATAATGGGAATGGGGGGGGGGAGTTTCCTTCCTCGCAGCGCAACCCCTCTGCCAAAGCAGTACTTAGGAACACGGAGGCAAAGGGATTTAAGAGAACAAGAGGTAGGGCTGTAGGCTGCTCTGTGAGGGGGTGCACCTGGAGCGCGCTCGGGGTTCTTTCCTCTGGTACAAAACCCCTGTCCTTGGAGAAGTCTTGGGTGGTAATGGACAAAATGTGCGTGTTAATGTGCTTTCTCCCCTTGGGTCTGCAGCTGTGTGTGTTCCTCAGCAGTGGTGTCGGTGCAGTTCCACCCTCAGCAATGCTGGCACAAAGCTGTACCAACAGCTGTCATTTCCTGGTAGTTACTTTTGAATAAAACTCAAACAAGTCGGAACTCTTATTCCGCTTTCTGAAGTGTTCTGCACCATTTTTCTTGGAGGAAAAATCTGCTTGAGCTGCTAAAAATGCTGCTTAGGAGCTTTTCTGAAAGCAGGGTTTAATCAATATATCTGGTTCTGAGCCGCTGTTCAGTGCAGTGTTTGTGCAAATGGCGTTTCCTGTTGCATTCCAAGGGCGAGACTCGGGGTTTGCTCTGCTCAGGTCTTCCCCCCTTCTCTCTGGCACTGAGTTACCAAGAAGGACACCGGACTGTCACTTTTGGGTGATTCTTTGTTCCTGCAGGTCCCTTGGTCTGTCTGTCACTTCTGTTTTAAAGCTTCAGCTCCGTGCTCAGGTGATGAGTTGAAAATGAGCTCATCTCTCTGTCTTTCTGGGTTATTCCTGTAGCTGCAAATGAGAGCTCGGGAATACAATTAGGATGTAATATGCACAAACTTAAAAAAAACCCAGCCCAACAGAAAATGAAGTCATGCAAAGCTGTTATTTGAGAGAAATGCAATTATGCTTTGAGCCAATTGAGGCTTGACTTGATTTCCCAGGGTTTGCTGGTGATGAGGCAGTAAAACCAGAATTAACTCTTGAAATACGCCTGTCCCGAGCAAGGAATTTGGCTGCTGAAAACCCAGGAAGCCACCCAAAGCAGTGGAATCCCCTCGCAGGAGGCCCTGTGCTGTTTGCAGTGGGTGAGTCCTGCACTCCCATTGCC